TTATCAAAAACAGAAAAAATTAGCATGGTGGTGCAGGCCTATAGTCCCAGCTACCCAAAAGGCTGAGGTAGTAGGATCACCTGAGCCTGGCGGGAGGTCCAGGCTGCTGTCAACTCTTACCATGCCACTGCATTCCAGCCTGGGCAACACAGACCGTCTCAAAAATAAGGATAGTAATATTTAAAATCTGCCTTATTATATGGTTTCTTGCTTTTATTAGAGCTATGCTTTTAGCCATCCGAAAGCTTCGTACTTTTCTTCCTGGTCCTTAATACACAAATAATAACTATATCATTATAGTTAGCAATATCATTCTTTTGTCGATAACTGTTGGACTAGAGTGGATCCCTAGAGTTCAATATCATTCTTTTATCAGTACTTGTTGGACTGGAATGTGTCCCCAGAGAGTTTTCCGTTTTGAATGCATACCCTTTCTGGTCCCATACTATAAACTGGCCTGCCTCTCCAATCTGTCATGGCATTTTGAATTTTTCTTGTCATCAGAGTACATACAACTCACTAAAAATATTAAAAACTCCATGTGTAGTAGACTTACTGTCCTAAAGGCACAAAGTAGTGAAAAAGAGCATGGGCTTTGGAGGAAAATCTGGGTCCCAAGCCTCTTACTGATCCTGCGAAGATCACTTAACTTTTCTGAGCCTCAGTTTCCTCAGATATAAAATAGAAGCAATATCATCTGCTCACAGGATTACGGTAAGGATTAAATGAGATACATATATCTCATTTATATAGATAGTACCCAATAACAAAGTGGCTGCTCAACAAATATTAAATAGCTGTGACAATGGAAAACATTCTGTGCAAAATCACTGTAGTCCTCCATGACATCAAGTTAAAAAAAGCAGGGCATGTGCCAAACACTGCCAATCTATTGACCTACTTAATATCAACTAGAATTTTAACACACATGTTTCTGATGCCATCATCTAATAGGGCACCAGCCACACTCACCCATGTGAAAAGCAACCCAGTCCCTTTTCTGGGTCTCAATCTCCCACTTAGTAACAGGTAACTTCCCTATGGATAGTGACCCAGAAGCAAATTGTTCATTCATCATCAATGAAATATGTTACTTTTTAAATGTGGTAATGAAAATTACTTACTACCAACTTCTTTACTCAGTTATTTGTACTCTGTATATTTACTGCTACATAGTGGAAGTACTTAAGCAAAACGCCAATGTTCTGATGTCTGTGAGAAATACAATCTGGAGCTCCTGCCATGGGAAAATTATGTGAAGTGGAAAGTAGGACTGAATTATAAAATCTTACAATCCCAAACAGTAAGTTAAATTAATAAATGTATAAACAACCCAGTTATGCAGGAGGCTGCAAATTTTTTTGTGAAAAATCAGACCTTGGTGATGACCTTGAGCAGCAGGATATAAATAACTCTTGCAAGCTTAGTGTTCCAATAATGGAACACTAGGCATAAATGGGTTAAATTTCAGGTGGAGTTTGCTGAACCCACAAATATGAAAATGACTTTCCAAGAATTGTAAAAGTAACTGCTAAGGAGATGCTGCTAACTTGATCACAAAAGCAAGATGAGGGCTGGGTGTGGTGGCTCACGCCTGTAATCCCAGCACTTTGGGAGGCTGAAGCAAGTGGATCACAAGGTCAGGAGTTCAAGACCAGCCTAGCCAATATGGTGCAACCCATCTCTACTAAAATTACAAAAATTAGCCAGGCATGGTGGCGCTCGCCTGTAGTCCTAGCTACTCAGGAGGCTGAGAAAGAAGAATTGCTTGAACCCAGGAGGTGGAGGTTGCAGTGGGCTGAGATCGTGCCACTGCACTACAGCCTGGTCAACAGAGCAAGACTCTGTCTCAA